TTAATATTGCTTTGGCTGTTTGTAGTACCTTGAAATTTCATATAAATTTTAGGATGGGATTTTCTATTTCTGCAGAAGACATTGCTGGGATTTTCACTGGGATTGTACTGAATCTGTAGATTGCTTTGCGCAGTGTTGTCATCTTAACAAAATTAAATTTCCAATCCAGAAACGTGAGCTGTCTTACCATTTATTTATATCTTCGTTAGTTTTTTCAGTAATGTTTGCCATTTCCAGTGTACCAGTCTTTTGCCTTTTTGGTTACACTTATTCCTTAGTATTCTATTCTTTTTGATGATACTGTAAGTGTAATTTTTTTCTTAATTTCCTTTTCATATTATTCACTGCTAGTGTATAGAAATGCAACTCAATACCTCTTTTTTTCTTTTTAACTCAGTGGGAGTAAAACCTTGATTTTAGACCCATGTTAGACTTCTGACCTATAGAACATAAGTAATGAATTTGTGTTGGTTTGAGGCACTAAATCTGTGGCAATTTGTGGCAGCAACAATAGGAAACTAATACAGTCCACATCTATTAAACATCGACTACAGGTTAGGCAAAATACTAGGAGCTTATGGTAATTAATCTTCATAACAATTCTGCAAATTAAACCCATTTTATGGATGAAGAAACTGAACCTAGAAAACTTGATTGAAATCACAGTTGATTATTAAAAATTGTGAGATTTGAGCCAGGTTCTATCTGTAGTTGCCCATAAGATACCACTATGAAGTATGGAAAACGATTTTAAAAATTTGAGCAGAATGAAAACGTGGTCAATGACATTCTTCAAGGTTATTCCTTACACACAGATTCCTGCTTAATTTTGGCAAGTCTTTTGAGGAATTGACTTTCGAGTCCATTACGAACTGCAATCATGTGGGTTTTTTAAAAAAGTTATTGTCTAACTTGATTGTCTTATTCACAAGGTTTCTCTGAATGGATTCCAAAATATCAAGCCCATCCTTAAAGGACAAAAGTTGGCTATCAATGAAGTGGATAATCAAAAATATATAGGCATTGCCCAAACACCAAGCTCCAGATGTGCTTTGAGCAGAGAGAGCATCACTGGAATAAAAGAAAATTCTGGCCGGGGCAAAGCTTTTTGGATCTGTAAATTCTGCCATGTTTTTTAAAAACAAAAAGCTCAATCTTTGTAGCTACACCTTAATTTGGTAAATAAATGTGTTCTACATCCCTTAAGCCCTTCCATATGGCTTTTAAATTATTTTCAGGTGCTCTGTCATCATCATCAAATACACACACAAGGACAGTGTTTCTCGACTTTGGATGCACTTCAGAATCACCCGGGGAACTTAAAGAGTGCTGAGGCCTGAGACTGTCCCCAGAGAGTCTCATTTGATTGGTCTGGGATGCAGCCTGGCCACTAGGAGTTTTAGAAGCTCTGCAGGTGGTTGTAATGAGCCAGGCTGTGAACCATCTACCAGAACCTGGGTTCTAGTTTTGGTTTATCCTCGCATCAGCTATGTGTCCCTGGACAAGACACACAGCTCCTCTGAGCCTCAGTTTCTCCAAAGGTAAAGAGGAGGTAACAACCTCTTCTCTACTTGCTTTATATACTTGACAAGAGGATCATGGGAGATTGTGTTTATGGGAGCACTTTGCAAACCAGATATTTTTTTAGGATTATTCATCATTTTGATTATTGCTGACTGAACAACATAGCTAAGCTTCTTAAGAAAAGATATGGTTTTGTTTTTGTTTGTTTCCTGTCCAACAGAATTTATATACTGTCCTGTTGTCTTTCACACTACCCTTTTTTTTAAATCCCTGCACCAGAGGCATATGCTCTATCAGCATTATTTGATACTCTTTGGCCCCAAGCCTGTCTTCTGATGGGGCCCCAGGACCTTCTCATTTGGCACATCCAGTGGCTATTTGGTGACTTGTTTTACTGGCACTTTTCTGTTTTGGTCGGAACTCTAAGTCCACTGGACATATTCTCAGATGTTTAACTTTTCTCCAGGCTTATGTCCTAAATATTTTTGCTGATTCTTTTCCTTCCTGTCTCCTTGAACATTTTATATTTGCTACTGGATAGAGCTAAGGCACCTTTTTTTCCATTCTTGTATCTTGGGTTAAAATCATTGTTTGAATTCCCCGAAGGCCTGAGGCTGCTGTCAGCATCTACAGGAAGAGCAGGGCTCTCTAGGAGTGCTCAGTATTTTTCTCTGTAAAAGCCTATCCCATTACTTCCAGGAGTCATGCCTCATCACAAGCTTGTGGGATTTGTCACTTTTTAACTCCCAGTTTACTGGGGTACATAGCAATAGAAAGGAAGCCTAAGTGTGTCTTCCCATCCCTGCCCAGAGCTGGTGCTGGAATCCGTGATCTTGCTTCTGTGTTTTCTCCCAGTTCTCATGTTTGTCACCCTGGCCTAGGCCAGTGTCTTATTTATAACTCATAGAGAGGTGAGGTGGGCCCAGCAGACTTGAATCTACTGACTTGTGTCATTCTGGACAAGTTAAAGTTCTTCCCAGTATCTCACATTATTCGTCTCTGATACGCAGCGACAATATCAGAATGCAACCCCCAGAGTTCAGGTGAGGAAGAGCATTGTATAATGAAGGGTCCTAAGGATCTACTGATGCTCATTTGCTCCCTACCTCACTGTCTGGGTCTTAGTTTTCTCCATAAATTCAGGTCCTCCTGGCTTTAGAATTCTTTGATCCTAGGAAACAGAACTTACTTCTGAGGTGAGCTTTTACAGGGCTAACAATTCAGGGCAGGTATGCTTTTTCTCAGGCTCCAAATCACCTTGGGTCATTCCGATTTCATTTTCATTTGTTTAGATGCTAGGAAAAGACAATTTAATTTCCAACCTGGACATATTGGCCAATTGTGCAAAAGGATGGCCAAGTAAATGGGGAAAAGTAAATGAGTGTAACTCTGTCCTGGTTCAGGGAGGTGCCATGGAGGTGAGAGGACTGTGTGAGCAGAGGGTCCCTTGGAGGACTGACGGAGCAGGGAGAGGGTGGGGAACAGGGCCCGAGTGGGGACCAGAAGCAGAAGCTATAAAGAGAGGGCAATGGCAGAACTGAATCTAGGATTTCCCTCTCCTCACAAAATCAGAGAAGTTTCTGTGCCCAATATTTGCACAGGCTCAGGAGTTTGATACCTGAGTTGCTCAAATCCCAGCTCTGCCACTTACTGGCTGGGTCTTGGGAAAATTCTGAGCTTTTCCCAATCTGTTATCTGTAAAATGGGGATAATTTTAAAGGTCAGTTTCACAGGGCCGTTGAGAAGATCAAATGAGCAATGTGTCATAGCACTTAGGGACTTGCTTGGCACATAATAATGGAAATGATATCATCATCACCACCACCACCACCACCACCATCATTATTGTGAATGTTAACACAGGGCTGTCAGGCTGGACTATTCCCAGAGGATTAGTAAAACCCATTACAGGGCCAGCACCAGAAAGGTGGCTCTGGGGGCAATGCGACCCCATGTGAAGAACTTGTCCACTTCAAGAATTACCCCAAGCAAGATACCCAAACCCAGAAGATCAGGAACTCAGCAGAAAAGGAGGGCCAATGGGCCATCTGCCATTTGCCTATTCTAGCCATAAAGTTGATGTCACAATTTGCATTTTTGTTGATTCATTCATGAATATAGTTCTGTGCCCTTAGTGCTTGCAAGGTGAGTGAGGTCTGATCCCTAACACGGGCAATGTGCCCAGGTGTCTGCTTACAAAATAGAATTTTCACCAAATTCTTTATCTGAGCCAACAGTAGGAAGGAGGAAGGTTGGGATCATTATTATATGACCATTAAGAAATTACCTTTATCACTGCCACTCCCAAGCATACCCACACACAAATACCTTATTTAACTTTGATAACAAAGCCAGGACGATATAACAATGCCCACTTTCCAGGGATGCCAGAATCAAGCTGCATTTCATGGCTCCTGTGACTTACGTGGGAGTATCTCAGGCTGGCAGGTTCAGATCTCTAGGGGTGTGCAGTGTTCTTAGGGAGAAGAGGAAGCATGGGAATAAGGCAAGAGAAATGTCCAGACTTTGAGATAGAGTCACCATGGGTACAAACACAGGTCCTAGCATGTCATTCTGGTTTTGCTTCTTGGTGAACCTAAAGGATTATGCGTAATATTTATGTTTAAACCCTGACACTTGAACTCTTACTCTGGGGACTATTCCTAGAGTTATTTTCTTTCTAGATATCACTTCTCTTTCTCACCTTTAGGGAGGCTGTTGCTTCAGCACAGGTTGGTAAACCTTTTCTGTAAAGGCCAGATAGTAAATACTTTAGGCTTTGTAGGCCACATGGTCTCTGTCACAGCCACTCAACTCTGCCATTGTACCATGATAGTAGCCACAGACAATACCTACATGAAGGGGTATGGCTGTGTCCCAACAAAACTTGATTTATAAAAAAGGAAGCCAGCTGGGCTTTGCTTGTGGGCCACAGTTTGATGATCTTTGCATTAATTCTATTCCCTTCCATCTAGCTGGTTTTACTTTCCAAACATGAACACAATTATTTTCAATCCCTCCCCCCCCAAGGCCCAACTAATAGTGTCACTGAGTAAGGTTCAGGAGCCATGCTGCTAATACAGGACAAGTTTCTGCTATGAAGACAAGTTGGACTGAACCCTGAAGCATGGGTAGCTGTGGGAGCAGAGGGTTGCTTAGAAGATGGTGCACCCCAAACTCTCTTTCCAGGGAATCTAATGGCAGAACCTTATGGGTAAGGAATCCCAAACAACTCCACCCATGTCCCTGGATGTCCTCCCCTCTGAGTAATGGGACGAGCCATTCAGGGTTGTGATGAATCTGTCTCCTCTGAGACCAATTGATGAAACTGATTTCACCAACCACTAGCACCTGGAACAGCCTGGTGTGACACAAGCTGAATGGAATCATTTTATGGGTTGAGGGGGGACTCTTTGGAGGCATCTAACTAGCATATTTTGGGAAAAAAATTAGGTGAAGCATTAGGAAAGGAAATTATGCTGTATGCCAAGCCCCCACCCACCATTAAGGGTATAAAAGGACCTTGGAGGAAGGAGAGACTCAAACCTCACCACATCCACCGGCCTCAGCACACCTGCTCTGCCATCACCTCTCCCAGCACCATGAGTTACAACTGTTGCCTGCCCAACGTGAGCTGCCGCTCCACCTGCTCCTCCCGGCCCTGCGTGGCCCCCAGCTGCCACAGCAGCATCCTGCCCGGGGCCTGCAACATCTCTGCCAATGTGGGCAGCTGTGGCTGGTTCTGCGAGGGTGCCTTCAATGGCAGCGAGAAGGAGACCATGCAGTTCCTGAACGACCGCCTGGCCAGCTACCTGGAGAAGGTGCGCCAGCTGGAGCGTGAGAACGCTGAGCTGGAGAACCGCATCCGGGAGCGGTGCCAGCAGCAGGAGCCCTTTGTGTGCCCCAACTACCAGTCCTACTTCCGGACCATTGAGGAGCTCCAGCAGAAGGTGAGGGGGTGCAAGCAGCAGCTGGTTGTCTTTAAACAATAAGACATTCTCAAGTTCAAGGGGCCCTCACAGTATATTCTTGTTTTCAGATTCTGTGTGCCAAGTCTGAGAATGCCAGGCTGGTGGTGCAGATTGACAATGCCAAGCTGGCCTCTGATGACTTCAGAACCAAGTACGTTGAGACTTTTGGCTCCAAGACTCCTCTGACTCTTTTATGGCCCTATGTGTCTAATGTTGCCTGGAAGGGAAGAGAAAGCCATTTCTTCCTTTTTACTTCTCTTCTTAAGGCTGCTTATGTAAAATCAGTTTCAAACACAGATCCAGACTCATGTGCTGTGTGCTCTTCAGTCTACGATGGGTTTTCTGGAAGGCTTTTTTAAACCCCAGCATTGAGAGTTTGAAATTAATTGTTCTTGGGGAATGGGTTGATGTCCATCTCAGGAGTCAGGGGCCTCTCCTGCCTATCTGTGCAGGGCTAGAGGGAAACGTAAGATAGAAGAGAAAGAAAACTGTGCCAGTTCAAAGAGAGCCAGGCCGATCCCATCCACACAGGATGTGGGACAGGGAGATGGGCTTCTTTCATGACGCGTCCTCCTGCTCTGATCCGTGTGCGCAGGTATGAGATGGAACGTTCCTCGCGGCAGCTGGTGGAGTCGGACCTCAATAGCCTGCGCAGGATCCTGGACGAACTGACCCTGTGCAAGTCTGACCTGGAGGCCCAGGTGGAGTCCCTGAAGGAGGAGCTGCTGTGCCTGAAGAGGAACCATGAGGAGGTGAGAGGCAACAAAAGTAGGCTTCAGAGCTAAGACTTGAGCATTGGGAATCCGGAGGCAATCATCATCAGCTTCTCGGGCTTGGGCCCTTCTCTGAAGAATGCACGGTCAGCTCGGAGAATGGTGATGCCATATCCATCTTGTGGAGTGACGTGAGAGGCTTCTTCTCAAACAGTTGGCCAGGCATTGGAGATATGGAGCAAGGACATCCATGCACTGAGCCCTGCTCTCTGCTGGTCACTGGTGGGTCCTGAATTTGGTGGCAGAGATGGAGAACAAAAGGAATAAGACACAGCCTGTCTCTTCCAAGGAGCTCACAGTCTTGTTGTGGGGAAGCAGCCATATACAAACAGTGATATCATACAAGCAGAGGTGAGATGTACCAGCTGCTAGGTGAGCTGTACCAGCTGCATGCTCTGGGAGCAGTCCAGTCTCCCTGAAAGGAGATAGGGAATCCTTCTCAGAGGTATGTTGGGAGAAGGAGAAAGATCTGAACACCTGAATGTTCCAACCTGAGGGAAGAGGCTGAGCAAAGACACAGAAGTGGTAGAGCAGGTATATTTGAGTATGGCCCATGGATCAGTAGGGTTGGGCATATGGTGCCTCTAGGAATATGACAGGAACTGAGGCAGGACATTCACATTCCAAGGAGTTTGACTTAGTCTTAATGGAATGTGAGCTTGTCCCAGTTTCTTGGGAAGGGAATCGATGCAATTCCTATGTGGGTTTCTTCCTACACAGTACATGTGACAACTCTTTGGGAAGGATCAGGATACTCCTTTCAAGGTTTCTGGCAGGGCTGTGCTCACTTTCCTACAGCAGAAAGACAGCAGATGTAGTGCTGTGTGTTCATTCCTTCCTCTTCCTCCATCAGGAAGCCAATTCCCTGCGCAGCCAGCTGGGAGACCGCCTCAACGTGGAGGTGGACGCGGCCCCCACCGTGGACCTCAACCGCGTGCTCAACGAGACCAGGTGTCAGTATGAGGCCCTGCTGGAGACCAACCGCAGGGATGTGGAGGAGTGGTTCACCACCCAGGTGGGCATCTCAGCACAGGGCCACCCAGGGCTCTTGGCCCCTCTGCCCTTCAGGCCGGGGCTGAGCCTGTCTTCTCTTCTGCTGTGTTTCAGACCGAGGAGCTCAACAAGCAGGTGGTGTCCAGCTCGGAGCAGCTGCAGACCTCCCAGGCGGAGATCATCGAGCTGAGACGCACGGTCAACGCCCTGGAGATCGAGCTGCAGGCCCAGCACAACCTGGTGGGTATTGTTCAGACCTCCTGGTGAGAAGGGGGAGGCCGGGGGTCAGAGTCACTGGGATGCCGTTGGGCCACACTCCCCTGAACTCTTGAAGCTTGTGACTCCTTTGGAGAAGGCCACTAAGGAGCAGCTCCGTGACATTCGTTGTCTTCCCCCACAGAGGAACTCCCTGGAGAACACGCTGACGGAGACCGAGGCCCGCTACAGCTCCCAGCTGTCCCAGCTGCAGTGCATGATCACCAGTGTGGAGTCCCAGCTGGCCGAGATCAGGGGTGACCTGGAGCGGCAGAACCAGGAGTACCAGGTGCTGCTGGATGTGCGGGCCCGGCTGGAGTGCGAGATCAACACGTACCGGGGGCTGCTGGATAGTGAGGATTGCAAGTGAGTATGAGGCAGAGGATTTCTGGGAAAAGATCTGTGATGGAACTGTAAGACAATGTGGGCACACACGTCGACCATATGATCAGTTCACGAAACAATACACATTTATCCAATGTCTAGTATGTGATAGTTAGCTAAGGGGAAGGTCAAAGGTAAAGGACATATATCCCCTGCTTCCAGGAGCCAAGAGGGGAGAGCTGATGGTAGGGAGATTGTTACAACGGTAACTGTTGGTCAGGCAGATTATGTTTGTTCCATGAGAGCTCAAGACCATGAGGCTATAATTTTTAAAAGGACAGTTTTCTACCTCTGCACATGGCATGGCATTCTGGGCCAGGGAGAAGAATTAAATGTGACTCCAGCCACTGAGGATTCATTGGTTGTCTCGTTAAGCACCTTTGGGCTTTCTCAGTCCCTGCCCCAATCCATTCTAAACCTCTGCGTCCTCCCAGGCTCCCCTGCAACCCATGCGCCACCACCAATGCTGCTGGCAACTCCTGTGGGCCCTGTGGCAGCTGTTCAAACCGTGTCTGTTAATTTAAGAACTTGCATCCTCTTTGAAGACTACAGTGAAGCCTTTTAGACCAAGCAAAGGAAAAGTCCCCAAGTTCTGCCTGGGCTGGAGCTCACTGCCGTGCAGAGACCTTGCCACGCTGAACGTGATGTTTCTAGACACAGAAATGCTTTCCACATCCAACAAGCAAACACACATCATCAACCTCCAACATCTGGAAGTTCCATCCTATTGAAGATTGAGTGTCTTTGCTTCTGAAGATGTCCAGCAGGCTGTCCTCTGAGCCCCGGGTAGTACCTTCGGGCGTTTCCTGTATGTATTGTTTCCTGCTTTCCTCGCTTCTTTGGTATTCTCTGGAATGCAAGGAAGCTTCATTTACTCCCCAATAAACTTTATTTCTCTGGCATAGTAAATGTGTTTCTCATTCATACTTGTGCATTGTAAAGTACTTGTCAGGGCTGTTTCATAAAAACACCCCTTCATTAGGAGGATGACATGGGTGAAATGACTCACCCCCGCCACTATGTCCCACTGGGAAATCCCCACTGAGAGGGAGGGCTGTCCTCCTGGACGCTCCCAACAAGGCAAGACCAGGCAGAAAGCCTGGCCTTTCGCACGCGCGCCCTTCCTGCCCAGCTGCAGCCCCGTTGGCTGTCCGGGGACTCCTCCCCAAGCCTCACTGATCTCCCCCTGCTACCTCATCACTCGGAATTCTCTGCTCTCCTTTATCTCAAACTGCCTGAAGACCGGCTTCTGTAGAAATTGCTCAAAGGGCAGCTATCCTCTCTTCTCTACTTCTCGGCTGCCCCAGTATCACCAATATAAATACCTGCCCTTCCCTCACATGCTACCTTCAATAACCCCGCCCACTCCGTGTCCCACCCTGACTGCCTGTTCTCTTTCTCCTGGTCACTCTGCCTACCCTTTCTGTCCAAAATGGAGGAAACAGCCTGGATCCTCAGCTTTGTTCTTCTCATTCCACATCCCTGTTTAGGGAGAGCCAGCTCCTTTGTCCTGACTCCCAAATCTTGCTCTCGCCTCAGCTGAGGTCCCCATAGGACAGCCTGCAGTTACCCATAGGACAGTTTCATTTGTTTTTAGTCCATCACATCACATTTAATGGACTAAAACTCATTTTTGCCAAACTGGTTCATCTTGTACCTACTTGTTGCACCTGACACTTTGTAATCTAAAGACCTTTCAAATGCAAGCAGGCGTATGTCCTTACCTCCCTCTCTTCAAGCTTACTCGTTTCTCTAGATCTTTGCTCCTACCCAAAATGTTCTTCCATAATCTCTTTATGACTTTATTTCCTATAATTTCAAGAAAGACCAATGCTCATTAAGTCTCTCCCAGCAGACATTAATCTTACCCCACCCTCCACTTGACTCATATATGAATTATTAAAGCTCTCATTTCCATCATCCACCATCTCAATTATCCATCCAGTTTGACACCATCTAACCTACACAGCTGCCATCAACCGCAGTTTTTATTGTGTAGAGTGCTGAGAATACACAGATAAGTCAACCCCGGTCCTGGCCCATGGCATGTTTACAGTCTAGAGTGGAGAAAACAGAGACAACCGTTATGTAGATAATCATCAGTGTGGCTCAAGAAAGGTGTGACTAAAGAATGATGAATTTCCAAGGTGTGAGAGTGATAAGAAGAGGCTCCATGGGGAGATAACACTTGATCAGGGCTTTGAAAACCCAAATATTCCATTTATACAAGTTTTGTCTTCCTGTCACATTGACAATAGGCCCTCCAAGGGAGATCATGGAATACTGTGAGTGGAATCAATAAGGAACACTAATACTAGTGAAAATTCATAAGAAGGTTATTAAAACTTTATATACTTCCAGTACTTCCAGCTTCAATCAACTATTCCTGTCTGATATTAGCATAATTCTGAAATAAAGTTTGGACAGATGAGTGTGGGCAGGTCTGACAAGAGGGAACGTATTTCAAAGCATGAACTTTGCCTGGTGAGGAGGTAAGAAAACAGGAAGTGTGTTTAGAGCCTAACAGACCTGTTTCTAGCCTGGAGCAGAGGATACATGTGGTAGTGGAAGATGGAATTGCAAAGTAGTCAGGGAGGACCGTATATGGCAATGCTTTGAATGGTTGTTTGTGAGTTTTGCTTGTAAGGAAAGTTGGCATATGACCTATTGGGAGCTATGGATAGGCCGGGTTGCAATGGGTCCTAGAAACTGGTAGGCCTCGGTGGGAAAGAAGGAAGATCAGTTAAGAGGCTGGTGAGAGACAGGGACTGAGACAAGGGTGGAGGTGGGAGAGTGGATGGGGTAAGGCAGAGGTGGAGTCAGAGGCACAGCCTGGGATATGGAAGCTGATTGGAGGAAGGGGAACAGAAAAGAAAGGAAGCTAGTACTGACTGAATACCTATTATGTGAATGAAGTTTTTCAGCCTGAGAAAATGAAACAACAGTGGGTCTCCAGTGCAGAGAAGTGGAAAAGAATGACTAGATTTGGGAGAAACATCAGAGAGTTACCTAAATGAAGAGGATAATGAAACTATAGGAACTGTTGAAGTTGTCAAGGGATAAATGTTAGCATCTGAAAGAACCTTGGAACGCTGATAGAAATAAGAGTTGACCTTGGGCTCTGACAGGAGGTTCTGCCTTGGGTTAGCCCAATCTCCAGGGACACAGATGACATTTGGTTATAAGTGGTTGGAGAGGGAAGTGGAGAAGCAGCTGAAGTGACACAGAAGTCAAAAGAAGTAGGAAATTTGATGAAGGGATGGTCAATAGCATCCAGGTCAAGGAAGGTGAGGATTCAGACAAATTACTGGATACGGCACTGGGGAGACCTCTGGTGACTACAGGACAGAAGGGTCTAGGGGATGCTGGTGGAAGAAGCCATCTTTCAGGGGCTCTTTCATATCTGTCTCAAATCACTAACTTGATAGTAAACTTAATGCAAAGTCCAACACATCCATTCTAAACATGAAGCTTACTGTGTTTGATCCTCTGTGCTCTACAAAAAAGGCTTGAACATCTGCTCTTCCCTTTGATCTGCAGAGCAGTCACCCAGACAGGTTTCCATTCCTTCTCTGAGTGGTCCCCGAATCCAGCTTTCCCAGAAGACTAGGACCATTAGACTAATTGTCCAGGACTGTTTCATGTTCTTCCTGACTCATCTGTTCTCGATTGGATAGAGTTAAAAACATACTGACGAATTTAGCATTTTTCTGACTTGACTTGGTCCCTTAACATCCTCAAACTCCATCCTCATTGGAAGTCCAGAACTGAGTGTGAAAGAAACAATGGCAGCACTGGAGGGGGGTTTGCATAATGAGCCCAGAACCCCATTTTAGGTGGCTGTACCTCCCGCTGCTCAGTCCGTATCACTACTGACTCTGGCTCATTTTCCAGGTCCTCTCCTACCTGTTCCTCAGAGGAAACCCTGTTTGAACATCTTAGAGTCAAACCTGCTGGCTTAGCTCCTGGGTCACTGTGACATCTGCTCCCTTCAATGTAGTGAGGCTGGATGACTGATACATTGACAACACTCACCTTTATGGAACAGTCTTTGGAAGCCCTATGTCTTGTTCTTATAAGCAGCTTGAACGGGGGCTAGCCCAGCATGGGGGGCTGGTGTTGGTGTTGAAAGTATTTCTGCTTTTCTAATTCCTCAGTGGGTGACTCTTCATCTCTCTTTGGTATGTGCCAGTCTTTTTGGTCTGTGTGTGCCCAATTATACCACACTCCTGGCCTCTCCTCACCATTTGTACACATCAAAACATAATTAATCTATACATGGTCCAATATGTGGACTTTGTATTTCCCAAAGAATACATTTTACATTTCTCGTGGTGAGAATTTCAAGTGCCCGTACCTGGCCATCAAAGAAGATGGCTTGGGGAAGAAGGAGGGAGACCCCCTAATGCCTTTGAAGTCCTGCCTCTAGAGGATGGCCATGGCCCAGCGGCCCTGACTCCGCTGCATGGGTAAGTGACGCTGGTGAGTTTGCATGTGATCTTTCCCACAGAAACAGCCTTGGCTTCCATAATAAACAGTAACCTTAAACCTCAACTGCAATTTACTCACATTTGAACACCAGAAGCCTTCCCATAGCATCTGCCACAATTACATGGGCCAAGTATAAAACCTTTCTGTTTGTTAGGATTTGATTTGCTCATCATGTTTACTGAAGGGTCATTGAATAGAAACAATGTCTTTGCTTATGTAAAGGTAAGACTTCACAGTACACTACACAGTAGGTGGAATAAATAAAAAAATTATTGCCTTCTAGAATTCCTGGGAAGCTGATTGAAGCTTGGCAGTTTTCTCAATAGACCCAAGTCCTCTCAACCATCATTAGCTAATAGACATGGTGCTATGCAGCAGTCATGTTTACTTCTACTCAAGGTGTGGGAATAGTCATGTGTTCTCAACTCTGCCCTCCACTTTTAAAGGTACAAAGGTACTTAACCTCTGGATCATTCTATTCCAACCAAAGTAGAAGCTACAGTAATGATTTAGGGATCCTCATAGACATATTTACCACTCTACAACATGATATTCCTTTCCTATTCTTTAAAAAATGACAATGTCCAAATTTTTCTCTTTTGAAGCTTTGGGCATAGAGGAAGGGAGAAAGAGAAATGGTAATTAATCCAGCTGTTTGCTCTTTGTTATATGACCTCTTCCAATAGGGCTTCAATCCGTTCGGCAATGTTCTGAAACCAACACACCCAAATACTCTAAAGGTAGAGATTTGGGCAGGAGGGGAAGAGAGTTGTGGATCGTGAACATGAGTGAGGGTGTCAGCACCTTCAAAGCATACACTCTGGGAGCCCACAATTATTCCAAAGCTGTTGTCCTTTATGAAAGCATACCTGGAGCTCCATTTTGGAGATGACTTTCAGAATCACCCAAGAAAATGTGCATTGTTATTTTATAGTCATACGGGTCTCTGACCCATTGAAGATGCTACTCAGGTTGGTTGTTTGTTCCACTCATAGGCTTGGTTCCAAATGGTATCTGGCTGACTCCAAAAATAAACACACCTTCAGAAGATGAAGGTCTGACTTCAATGAGGATAACCAAAAGAAAGTATTCCAGGCTGTGAGGGCAAATTTGAAGAAGGAGTGACCTGAGCAATGGCCATATGAGAAGAATTAACATTAAACATAAAATTCTCAGAGTTCTCATCTCCATCTGGAAGAGTATGAGGTGGAACATCTGTTTGCCAAAATGTGTTGATGGTCACTTGATACCATTAAGCATACAATGAATGATGTGGTGACTTTTCAGGGTCATATCCTTTGGAGAACTGGGCTCAGATGTTTCTCTATCAGATCAACTGAGGGTTTCCTTTTCTTCAAGCTTTTAGTGGGTATTACACTTTCTCACCTAGTAGACATCTCTCCATTAGATTAGAAATGACCTTTGGTTCTTTGATATGGAACAGGTTTAAATAAAAGGAAAAATCCTGGCTCATTTTAACAGAGGGGTACTGTCTAGTAGACACTGAACTCAATCCATTTGTGCATTACTGCATCTCAATAGTCAGAATACTGCAGAGAGATGGTGTGATGGCTAAAACATGGCTGTTGGATATCTGAAAGATCTGAGTTTAAAGGCTGGCTCTTCCACATAGGAGCTCTGTGACTGTGGGCAACCTCTCAGACATGTGGTGTCCTCATCCACAAGCCCCACAGGGCTTTGTGAGGACCGAAGGAGTTAATGCACGTGACATGCTTAGCACAGTGGGTGTTCTAAGCTGGAGCCATTCTATAAACAGTCACACTGTGTATAAGCACATGGTACAGTCTTCATGCAGAGTAGGTGCTCCCAACTTAGTTTCCTAAATGTTCTGTGAACATTGAATAATAACAGACATGGAACCTGGATCATCCTAAGCAGCCCCCTGGGAAGAGGGTAGGAGTGCCTCCATCTGGCCTGGATGGAACGGCAAAGGGACATTGAACTGGATGGCCTCCTAAGTCCTTTCTGACCTCAGCTTCTAGACTGGTTTCCAGGTGGGCTTTCTAAGAGGGCTTCCTGCATAGAGTCCTTCCTGAGTATGATGAGCTGGATGAAGCACAGAACTTTCCTCGTTTAGGAGAGGCACAGAAGTGACGTCAACTCTGGGGTACAGGACAGCTGTCACCCTAACCCTCTGTGAATAAGCTCTCCTATTGGTAAGGTAATGTGCTGGTCACTTTGAAGCTCTTACTTAGCCAACCAGCATGATTGGTGAGGAGTCCTGACTTAGCAAGAAGCCAGAGTAAAACATTTTATGAGGTAAGGGACTCGAGTGGGGTGGCTAAATAACAAGTGGAAAAATTGGTAAAGAGGGTAAAAGGGGGTAATGCGTATGTGGTTGCCACACCCACTGCTGGACTGAATATAAAGCCCTGGAGAGGATCAGGGCTTCCACCAGTGAAAAGGAATCAGGCTTTGAAACTGACCTTCAGAGCTCCGCTCCCTCCAGCACCATGCCTTACGCCTGTTGCCTGCCCAGTGTGAGCTGCCGCTCCACCTGCTCCTCCCGGCCCTGCGTGGCCCCCAGCTGCCACAGCAGCATCCTGCCCGGGGCCTGCAACATCCCCGCCAACGTGGGCAGCTGCGGCTGGTTCTGCGAGGGTGCCTTCAATGGCAGCGAGAAGGAGACCATGCAGTTCCTGAACGACCGCCTGGCCAGCTACCTGGAGAAGGTGCGCCAGCTGGAGCGTGAGAACGCTGAGCTGGAGAACCGCATCCGGGAGCGGTGCCAGCAGCAGGAGCCCTTTGTGTGCCCCAACTACCAGTCCTACTTCCGGACCATTGAGGAGCTCCAGCAGAAGGTGAGGGGGGACACCACACTGCCAATTTATTGAACTATTTATCCAAGTTTAACATGCCAGTTTGTGAATGGATCTAAGACTGTCCGAAGCTAATGTTGAGAATGATAAAGATGTAGACTGCATTGGCTTAGGTACAACACATCAAGTCGTCGTAGCAAGTCTGTTTGGGAAGCCATACAAGGGAAGGATACACACTGGGCTAGGGGAAGGCATCAGACTAAGATTGGTCATAGCAATCTTACACTGCTTCTTCCCTAAAACCAGAATATCTGATTCTTTAGTTCTGTAATGATATTCCACTCTTGTTTTCAGAGCCTATAGCATTAAAAAAAAATGCACCTGAATTATTTCTTGGAGCTAGGAATTTCCTGAGTAGGTCCTTAAATATTTAAAGCCTTTTAAAGTTGTAGCAAGAGACTATAGCAAAGCAAAAGAGCTGTTGACCTCAGAAGCCTCACTAATACACACAGACATTGTGCCATCCACTACAGCAGGCATGTGTGCCAGTGAGAATTCACATCCAGAAACATAGGCATAGAAGCTGGGCTAAGAGTCAGCACAGACATGGGACTTAATACATGGTGCTGGTCAGGGAGGGCTTCCCAGAAGAGGCAATGCCTGAGCAAGATTTGAAGGAAGGACAAGAATTTATATCCAATTACTCAAGCCCTTGATTCTCTGAGGGGCTTGGCTGTCCACTGGTCAGTAGTTCTAGCAAAGGGAGTGCTGGAAAGGGGCTGTGCAATTTGAAGGTCATGCATTCATTTACCACATTTAGTGAGTGCTAGGAGTGAGAGATCAAGTGCAGGGAAAGACAGCCTCTTTCTGCTCACAGTCTAACAGGAGACTGACATGGAAACAAATGAATAGTGCAGGTGATTAGAAGTGCAGCAGGCTAAGTACAAGGTACTGTGGGGGCCCGTGGAGGAAGTGAGCACCTGCAGGAGCTGGTGAAGGGGGGCACTGTGAGTTATGCAGCAGTTCTTGCTAGTGGGTGAGGGCATCCCAGGGCATTCCAGGGCTCCTAGAGGGAGCTTTGTGCAACAGCACAGACAAGGGCACCATGAGGGAGAGTGGGGAGGTCATCAGGCTGCAATAAGGGGGTGTGAGGACAGCATCACCAGCTCGTCCTGGTTTGTCTGGGATTTTTCTGGGTTAGCACCCAGGAACCCCCTAGTCCTAGGCAAACTGGGACACTGGTCACCCTATGAGAGGCTTGGTTCCCAGTATGCTCAGTTCCTGCAGGAAGCCAGAGGCAGACCAAGAAGAGTAGGATTCAGGACAAAAGGCACACTTCCCCTTGACTGTTTTAGCTTTGAAATGATGAGTTCCATTAATTAGACCTTCTTTTATCCCTAAACTGAAAATCTGAGAAGATGCAAAGCTATTGAGAAGGAATGTGTATTTGAAACAAAACAGTTTTTCCCTTTACGGCACAAGACATTCCTTCTCAGTAGAACTCATTTCACAATTAACCCTGTCCCCAGATCCTGTGCAGCAAGTCGGAGAATGCCAGGCTGGTGGTGCAGATAGACAATGCCAAGCTGGCCGCAGACGACTTCAGGACCAAGTAAGATTTTTCTACTGACACGAACAATTTAGTTGTGCTCAGCATGAACTGCCAAGTGATGCGCATGTTCCGCGGAGCGTGCAAGCAGAAGCGCTCTGGGATGACACTAGGAGCACTCTTGCATGGGGTTAGTGAGCCTAGATGTCAGTCTTCTCACTGAATGCAGGAATTCCGTGTTTTAACTTTCGTTTGAAAGAGCTCAAGACACCACCCGTTCTTTCTCTTTTTCAACTGGACTGAATTTTAAAGCGAATTTGATACCAGTTTCTCAGTATAGGTTAGTCATTATCAGCCCATTTAAGAAAGGAGTTAAATCACAAAAATAGGAGGCAAATCCATTGAAGAGAACCAACCAATTTTTCTAGGTGTGACCATACCCTAAGAATCCTTTGCCTTTTTATGGGGCTTTACGGTTTGCAAGGTAATTTTACATGTCATTTCTTCATCTTCAGGCTGACTCTATGATATGTTGGTTCCCATTTTACAGATGAAGGGATTTATCCAGTCATAATGGCAAAGATCAGTCTACTGGCTTCTGATTCAGTGCTTCTAACACAACACCAGATTGCTCCTCAGAGTGGTTGCAAAAGCTGGGGAGACAATCTGTATAGCAGGCTTGGGAAGTTCACCTACCCAAAAAGACAAGATGACAGGCTTAGTTACACTAGCCTGTGAATGGGATGCTTAGCACAAGTGCCATTAATATTAGATCAAAACTATGCATAGGTACCCCACCAATACCTTCTCTGTGGCTCTTTTGGGGAGGAAATAGGTCTTTTTACTCAGCACAGTGGTATTTTTTTCCCTTTCAAAAAACTTTGAAGTAATTCAAAATGTAATGACTTTGATTGGGCCAGTCAAGTAAAACCCAGGAAGAACAAGTCTTCCTGGTTGACATCCTTTGACCTCTGGCTGTGTGCACAGGTATGAGACGGAGCTGGGCTTGCGGCAGCTGGTGGAGTCGGACCTCAACGGCCTGCGCAGGATCCTGGACGAGCTGACCCTGTGCAAGTCTGACCTGGAGGCTCAGGTGGAGTCCCTGAAGGAGGAGCTGCTGTGCCTCAAGCAGAACCATGAGCAGGTGAGGGAGTCCCAGCCCCCACCACCCTAATATTGAGAGTTCCTAACTTCCATGTGCAGGATAAGGTAGGTCTTTGCTAAGCGCCACAGAGCTACTGGTTGCTCAAAACCTACCTGGGGGGATATTGGGAAATGAGTCACAAACTTCTCTCTTTTACCTAGAATCTGTCTGGTGACCTATTTCCACTTGTGGCCAGATATGTGGTCCGAAGTCCACACAAAGATCTTTTAAAATACTTTCTGTTGTTTGATAAGATCTACTATTATCTGAATAGCTGCCAAATTAATGACTAAGACTGGAAGGAGATAGTAAACCTCCTTATATTATCTAGTCACCTAGATACTAGAACCCAACGTGGATAAATGGATGGATGGATGGGAAAAAAGGGGGAAGTGAAGGAACTCAAATAATGGTTGACACAGACCTCATGGTTAGATGTAATATTAGGAATTGAGATGCATGTCATAAACATTAATTAGATGTTCTGATGAAAAGGAAACAGCCCCTAATGGATAGTGCATAAGGTCAGAAGACATGAAATAAATGGGAGAAGTTAAATCTGGTTTCCCTATATTTAAGTAGCAACAATTATAAACCAGATATCATGGCAGGCTTATCACTAAGCAAAGGGAAAATCAGAAAGAAATGATACAATCTTGTAGTGGGAAGAAGCATTAGGAGTAATTTAAACAACCAGCCTCATTATACAGATGAGGCAAGACTCAGACAGCAGGCCTGACACAAGAGGTAACATGGCCAAGTTTTTAACTCATATTTTCTAAGTTCTAATGCAATCCTTTTCCCACTACATTGGACTTCCTCAAAAAAAGTTTAATTATACATTTCATTCTGTGTGTTCATTCCTTCCTCTTCCTCCATCAGGAAGTCAACACCCTGCGCAGCCAGCTGGGAGACCGCCTCAACGTGGAGGTGGACGCGGCCCCCACCGTGGACCTCAACCGCGTGCTCAACGAGACCAGGTGTCAGTACGAGGCCCTGCTGGAGACCAACCGCAGGGACGTGGAGGAGTGGTTCATCACCCAGGTGGGCATCTCAGCACAGGGCCACCCAGGGCTCTTGGCCCCTCTGCTCTTCAGGCCGGGGCTGAGCCTGTCTTCTCTTCTGCTGTGTTTCAGACCGAGGAGCTCAACAAGCAGGTGGTGTCCAGCTCGGAGCAGCTGCAGACCTCCCAGGCGGAGATCATCGAGCTGAGACGCACGGTCAACGCCCTGGAGATTGAGCTGCAGGCCCAGCACAACCTGGTGGGTATTGTTCAGACCTCCTGGTGAGAAGGGGGAGGCCGGGGGTCAGAGTCACTGGGATGCCGTTGGGCCACACTCCCCTGAACTCTTGAAGCTTGTGACTCCTTTGGAGAAGGCCACTAAGGAGCAGCTCTGTGACATTCGTTGTCTTCCCCCACAGAGGAACTCCCTGGAGAACACGCTGACGGAGACCGAGGCCCGCTACAGCTCCCAGCTGTCCCAGCTGCAGTGCATGATCACCAGCGTGGAGTCCCAGCTGGCTGAGATCAGGGGTGACCTGGAGCGGCAGAACCAGGAGTACCAGGTGCTGCTGGACGTGCGGGCCCGGCTGGAGTGTGAGATCAACACGTACCGGGGGCTGCTGGAGAGCGAGGACTGCAAGTGAGTACCTGGCTGCAGGTGTCTGGTGCAGTCGTGCACACACCAATGTACTGTCAGGCAGCACCCCTGCAAAGCACCCACGCAGCTGTGCTCAAAGATAGGACAGGGATTTTGCTAGTCAGGTCCTCACATGCCCATGTGGCTGTAGAAACCAGAATTTGACATCACAGCAGTGGGAAGGGGAGGGTATTTGGTTCTCTCATTACCTGGCCTAAAGGTATTTTCTGTTTCAAAAGATACTCATGAGACTTGACTGTTTTCTCCAGCTTTTGGATGTTGAAGGGTAAATAAAGCTTTGTACCTCTAGGCTGGCTTGTCATAGCAAAAGGGAAGACAAAGTTGTAACAACAATCGTTTCTATTTGAACATTGCTTTTGGATTTAACCGACACTTTCAAATCCATTTTTTTATTGATCCCTGTTGGAATCATCTGAGGCAGGCAGAGTGGGGATCAGACCAGCATGACCATCTTATAGATGAGCTTTTGAATATCAAAAGTGAAGATGACTCAATAACTCATAGGGTCCAGCACTCATCACCTAACACAGAATTTCTATGAACTCATTCTGTATGGCAGGTATCAGCAATGAGGCTTAGAGGGATGAAATGACATCCCCATGACTCTAGGGCTGTAGAGAGGCAACTAGGATTCCACCTTGAGTCTTTGCTCTTCTTTTCTGAGCTTTGTAGAAGTGATCTGAACAGAGCTTGGCTTCCTAAGATCTCAGAGAGTGGTTTCTGCTTGTTCCCATGTCCCTCCTTTTTTAAAAAATCACCCTTGCATGCTGATAATCTAATGGTTCTGTGTCCCAGGCTGCCCTGCAACCCCTGTGCCACCACCAACGCATGTGCCAAGCCCATTGGACCCTGTGTAACCAATCCCTGCACCCCTTGTGGCCCACGCTCCTACTGTGGGCCCTGCAATACCTTTGGCTGCTAGATGTCACCGAGACAGCATGAAGACAGATGGACCAACCATCCACTGGCCAGCCTCGCTTCTCTGAGAACCATCAGCCATGGGACCCTGCAGCAGGCATCACCGTAAACCACGGGCTGGAACAACAAGTGCTCCACACCCAGGCCCGCGGGATGCTGTTCATCTGAGGCCACTCGGCAGTTGTTCTGTGACCTGATGGTCTGACAGGTTGGGCTGTGACGCTGTCAGATGAGGTGTTGTATGGTTCTTTGCTGCTCTGACCTTTCTTGCAGTTCCCCAGATGGCTTTGCAATCTAATAAACTTTCCTCTTGCAAAGCAGTGATGATTCTCATTTGTATTCATTCTTTTAAAAGTGTTCACTCTATGTTTATGTGCTTCTTATGAAACCACTTGAAAGCAGTTGTATAGCTTTATAGCTGTGTCATTTAACCCTCTCCTAAAAGGTCCATTAATTAATATGCATTAAGCACAATGAGCCCCAATACCCTCTCAGGTAGGGAACCAGTGGGAACACTAGGGCGAGAGGCCTCTTCTGAATATGACAAACATTCCTTATGGGGACTTAGTAAAACATAGCAGCTAACATTTCTAGAAAAGCCCACCTTTTATTTTCCAAGTGCCCACAAGAACAGGGACAGGACCTAGCACTTATTGAACACCAGCCGGGTACCAGGAACTGCACAAATACTTTTTGTCTTATTCACAACGTAAGTAGCAATGCCAAGACTGAACCCAGAGCTCACTCTCTGAATGGCAGTTGCATGTGAGATGTCTGACAGCGAGAGAATAAGCCTGATTTTGAACAAGCACCCAGATCCTCTATAGCCTTCAAGATCGTCCCGTGGGAAGGGATGGTGCTGTTAGTGTCCCAAACATCTCTGAGACTCTCTTTTGGGAAATACTGAAAACCTCCCAGTTGTAAAAAGGGTCTCTCTTATATTTTAGTAACACCCAACCGATTTTTTAAAGCTTTTCTCTTCTCATTTGAATTTTTTAAGCGCTGGGACTAACTTTGAATTCTGGGACCCACCCCACAAAGTTCTTTAGAACCAAGTCAGGATATTAAGTCTCTGGTCTCTGCCAGTACTAACAGTGTCTTACAGGTGCCTGCTGGTGTCCGGCTGAGATCAGTGGTTCCCATGGTTGTGTGTTCTAGAGTCTGTGCAAGGCCACTGTCCTGGGCTAGTCATATCCTCTCTCCCGAAGCTGAAGCTGACACTCTTGCCCCCTTCTGGGATGACGGCTTTTCCAACTTGGTCTCACACTCTTGCCCTCTCATACTCTAGTTCTAACGTTCATCCCATTGATGTTGGAGTCCCTTACTCAATCCCAGGCAGTGCCCTGGAAGGTGACGGAGTGATACTCCATGCTGTGCTCAGAACGTCTCACCTGAGCTGGTGCACCCTGGCCTCTCTTCCTTCTGGGCAAGTTCATTCCCAGGAGCCACCTCCATGCCTCATACAAATACCCTCATGCAGTCGTTCCTGTCAGTTCTCTGTTCATGCTGGGACTGACACCTGCCAGTAGTTAGCCGCTGGCTCTATCAGGACCCGGTGCCTCATGAACACCCTGTTCTCTGCTTGTGAGGGCTCTAATTTCTCAACACAATAAATACACTTTATTCTTATCGTTCAACGTGTAAATCAGCAAACAAAAACTTTGTCTCTGTGTTTGATGGGGCCTTGTCAGTGGGAGAACTGGGTCAGGGGAGGCTGTCCTGAGTGCCATCTCTGCCATGGTGTTTTCTTGCATGGAGAAGAGAAAGGAGTGTCAGGGAAGTCCCTTTTGCTCAGGACAAAGCCACGTTGGTTTCGAGCTAACTGGGTAGCCCTCAGCGTTACCACTCACCTCACATACTGGGTGACCCATGGCTCTTGAGTCCACTGATGAGGGACTATGCTCCACTACCTGGTGTGACAAGTCAGCTTTGCTGTTGTCTATTTTTAATCATGAATTATGAAATATGCCAAACATCTAAAGGAACAAAAAATAATAAGACACCTATAAATCCACTACCAAGATTTAAGAGATCTAAACATTGGCCTTACATCATTGTTGTGGTTTGGTTTTGCTTTGTTTTTAGAAACAAAATGTTACACGTTTACATAAAACCCCCACCTTTATCCATCCTTTCCTACATATGTTTCCCTAGAGGAATCCGCAATTCTAAACTTGTGGTGGTGTATCATTCTCCAATTAAAACATTTCTAAAAACTATACATGGTAGCAAACTAAATTAAAAAATACATGAAAAAGATCACCCATCAGGACCAAGTGGGATTTATTCCAGGGATGCAAGGATGGTACAATATTTGAAAATTCATCAACATCATCCACCACATCAACAAAAAGGACAAAAATCACATGATCATCTCAACAGATACTGAAAAAGCATCTGACAAAATTCAACATCCATTCATGATAAAAACTCTCAACAAAATGGGTATAGAGGGTACCTCAACATAATAAAGGCCATATATGACAAACCCACAGCCATCATTATACTTAACAGTGAAAAGGTGAAAGATTTTCTTCTAAGATGGGGAACAAGACAAGGATGCCCGCTCTCCCCACTTTTATTCAACATAGTACTGGATGTCCTAGCCACAGCAATTAGACAACACAAAGAAATAAAAGGCATCCAGATTGGTAAGGAAGAAGTCAAACTGTCACTGTTTGCAGATGACTTGATATTATACATAGAAAATCCTAAAGACTCCACCAAAAAACTATTAGAACTAATACCTGAATTCAGCAAAGTTACAGGATACAAAATTAATACACAGAAATCTGTTGCATTCTTATACACTAACAACAAATTAGCAGAAGGAGAAATCAGGAAAACAACTCCATTTACAACTGCATCAAAAAGAAGAAAATACCTAGGAATAAACCTAACCAAGGAGGTGAAAGACCTATATTCTGAAAACTACAAGACACTCATGAGAGAAATTAAAGAAGACACCAATGAATTGAAATCTATCCATGCTCTTGGATAGGAAGAATAAATATTGTCAAAATGTCCATACTGCCTAAGGCTATTTACAGATTCAATGTAATCCTTATCAACATACCAACAGCATTCTTCGATGATCTAGAACAAATAGTTCTAAAATTCATATGGAACCACCAAAGACCCTGAATAGCCAAAGCAATCCTGAGAAATAAGAACAAAGCTGGGGGGATTATGCTCCCTAGCATCAAGCTTTACTACAAAGCCACAGTAATAAAACAATTTGGTCCTGGCACAAGAACAGACCCATACTTCAATTGAACAGAATAGAGAGCCCAGATATAAACCCACACATGTGTGGTCAATTAATATACAGTAAAGGAGCCATGAATATACAATGGAGAAAAGACAGCCTCTTTAACAACTGGTGCTGGGAAAACTGGACAGCTACATGCAAGAGAATGAAACTGGATTATTGTCTAACTCCATACATAAAAGTAAACACAAAATGGATCAAAGACTTGAATGTAAGTCATGAAACCATAAAACTCTTAGAAGAAAACAAAGGCAAAAATCTCTTGAATACAAACATGAGCAACTTTTCCTGAACACATCTCCTCGGGCAAGAGAAACAAAATAAAAAATGAGCAAGTGGGACTACATCAAAGTAAAAATCTTCAGTACAGCAAAGGACACTGTCAACAGAACAAAAAGGCATCCTACAGTATAGGAGAATGTATTCATAAATGATTTATCTGATAAGAGGTTAACATCCAAAACATATGAAGAACTCATATGCCTCAACATCCAAAACACAAATAACCCAATTAAAAATAGGCAGATGATCTGAACAGACACTTCTCCAAAGAAGAAATATGGATGGCCAATAGGCTTGTGAAAAGATGCTCCACATCGCTAATCATCAGGGAAATGCAAATTAAAACCACAATGAGATATCATCTCACACCAGTTAGGATGGCCAGCATCCAAAAGACAAGAAACAACAAATGCTGGCAAGGATGTGGAGAAAGGGGAACCTTCCTACACTGTTGGTGGGAACGTAAATTGGTTCAACCATTGTGGAAAGCAGTATGGAGGTTCCTTGAAAAACTAAAAATAGAAATACCATTTGACCCAGTAGTTCTACTCCTTGGATTTACCTGAAGAAAACAAGATCCCAGATTCGAAAAGACCTATGCACCCCTATATTTATCTCTGCACTATTTACAATAGCCAAGATATGGAAGCAACCTAAATGTCCATCAATAGATGAATGGATAAAGATGTGGTACATATACACAATGGAATATTATTAGCCATAAAAAGAAAAGAAATCCTACCCTTTGTGACAACATGGAAGGAGCTAGAGGGTATTATGTTCAGTGAAATAAGCCAGGTAGAGAAAGACAAGTACCAAATAACTTCACTTATTTGTGGAGTGTAACAACAAAACAAAACTGAAGGAACAAAACAGCAGCAGACTCACAGACACTGAGAAGGGACTAGTGGTTACCAAAGGGGAGGGGCTGGGGAGGGTGGGGGGAGAATGCAATTAAGGAGCCGTATAATTCGCAACTGCAATATAGGTAGGTCATGGGGAAGGCAGTATAGCACAGAGAAGACAAATAACAACTCTATAGCATTTTACTACACTGATAGACAGTGACTGCCGTAGAGGGGGTGAGGACTTGATAATGTGGGTGAATGCTGAAACCACAGTGTTGTTTATGTGAAACCATCATAAGATTATGTATCAATGATACTTTAATAAAAAAAAGAAAAAAGAAAAAAAACTATACATGGATGAATCCGTGCACAGTGTGTGTGTGTGTGTTTCAGCTTAAAGTTAGAAAATATAAATGGTATAAATCTTGCCATTAATTTTCCCCATTTAACATTATGCTTCTGAGATTTATCTATGTTTATATATGTTGTTCTTTTCCTTTATTTAAATTCTTATGTAATATTTTGTAATGAAAACGAATCATGTTTTTATTTACTTATTCCATTATTAAGGGACAGCTAGGATGTGTCTTTCTTTCTTTAATCATTATAAAGTGTTGCAGGAACATCCTTGCCAATGTCTCCTATGTGAGTGGTTATCCAGAGCAGTGGTGCTCAAACTGTAGGCCACTGGGAACATGGATGCTATTAGAAAATTCTTGTGTCCCATGCTAGACCTACTAACTCCAAAGCCTAGAAGTGAGGCCCAACAATTTATTTAAA